TGTGATTTTTTTCCCAGTCTGGCCTAATCGACGGTCAGCAACGACTATTATGTTACGGAGGTAGTTTGATCACTGATACCACACAAGACACCTGTCATGCTATATAAGACCTGTGGTGGGTAAATAGGTACATGAGAGTATTAACGTTCAAATTTCATACGATGTTATTGTCATGTGATTCAAACACTAGAACAGATGGTATATACACCAAACAGAAGAATTACAACATATTTCTAAGAAGATCTATTTTAGATATACATATTTGGGTATAGGGTAACACTCGCATCTAGTTTCCGAAAAGTATGTCGTAGATAGCCGAGATTAACAGGTAAATAGGAAGGCAATCCTACATACAGCTGAAGATATATCCAGCAGATGTTCTAGGTAAATTCTCCACATGAAAAAAAGTACTACACACGACATCTGTAATATCTTCTGATGTTTATTACAGCCTTAGACACATTTCCTGGATTTGCAGCAGCGGGTGTCGCCGATGAAGTAGAAGACGCTCTAAGACACAGATGCCATATTCCGAGGTCCATAAGGCCCGGTTCTGAATTCTAGAACATGTAAACCATATGTTTTGAATCACATCTTTCACTTCTTTTTTTTCAATTTTTCAATCAAAACAAAGAAAAATATTGACATGTGCAATATGTATACAGCATAACACTTTAAATCTTGGGGAAATAACATTTAAACCTCATACAATTAAAACTTTATAAAATAACTTCCTTTGTATTTTCATGGGGTCTGTTTAACAGGTAAGTTTTAACCGAAATATACTTTAACAAAGACTACAAAAACACGTTTTTTTCGTGAATGCTGTCTGTCGCTTCACCTAGCAGAGGATAAACGACAATTTGTAATACGCTTCGGTGGCTTCTCAGTGTGACGGTATCGTGTGCTCAGTCGAACATATTGCACCCACAGCAAATTGGCTCTAAAGAGAAAGGTATTTAAGGGTTTCTTTCCCCATTATCTGTGTATATGTGTTCTGTAGCCTATATAGTAACAATGCGGAAGTATTCGTATTCACGGATAAAGGAACATGTGGATTAGAAAAGGAGAGACAACTTAACGACAGCTTATGTCATTTCCTTCTTGTTCCTGAACCCTACAACAAGTTGGAATTTTTGTTCGCTTTTTCTTCGTTGAAATAGCCAAATATAAGAAGTCGACGGCTTGTAGAGATGCCTATCAGTGATTTGTCTTGGCGAATAGAAAAGTTGGTCATTAACAGTATTTTAATATACTGACAACCCTGCACTCCCCGAAATACATCTTAAATATCACCAGCCGACTTGTAATATGGATGGTGTGTTATTCAGTTTGATGTCCAAACTTTACATTAAGAAATTACAATAACTTTTTAATATAAAAATATCATAACTTTTGTATATTTCCTATTTAACAATGAAAGCGTGAAGAGACTAGTACATTCAGAGTACTCAGTTAAAGATAGAAACACGTGTAAAAAAATCACGCGCGAACTGCACTATTTCTTGTCAACTATTTCAAGAACTTCACCTACTCTTCAGAGATGCTAGGGACAAGACATATATAGGCTCGCTCGGGTTATCAGTCCAGATTGGATCACTGAGATTTATGATAAGCTTGTTTTCTCCTCCCAAATTTAATTCTTATATGTATAATTTTGTTTCATTATCAAGTAAAATACATATATTGTTTAAACTAATGATAGAAACCAATGTCTTTGCAATCGAAATTCCGTTCTCAACCATATCTTTCCTCGGGTGAAGATTTCAGGGTGGCGTTTCGATAACAACTTTGTCACCTTCATCAGACCTTCATCAGACAAATGACCAGTGCGGAACGTACTAGCACTGACGTATGGATAGTACGAGATGGTAAAGAATCGACCGGCTTTTCGGTACTATAAATCCTATGAACACTAATGCAAACAAATAGTGGGACGATATTGTTACAACGTACTCCAGTCGGCTACGCTTGGTCAAAGATGTACGGAAGTCTGTGACTCAGCTCCTAGCCCACCCCCATCCAATCTCGCCCTTATCTTGATATTTTCCTGTAACGAATCCGACATGGATAGCTTTCCACCGAGCTGTATGATAAACGTGATGATTTCAATTTTCATTTCTCGGTAGCTACATTCCTGCATCTCCAAACAATGCTGTTTATATGTTGCTGTCGATTCGATATTCAAGGGCCTGTTACCATGGTTTTGTTCAAGAAGTCTTCAACTAACGGATACACTCGTAACACAGGGTTTCAAAAGATGCAGCTTAATGAAAATTATGGGGAAGTTTTACAGCCGTCATAGTGATCTCATTTCGTTGTTGTATACCTTGTTCTCATTTGAGAACATGCCATTACTGACATGGATTGACCAAAATTTTATGACGAGTGTCATCGATGAAGCAGAAAATTCCTACTCTTCCGGAAAGCTGGTCTTATTCTCCTTGTACTTTTTTGGAGTCCACATGCAAGTCTTTCTTTAGTTTATATTTTGCCCTAGTTTATGGATTTTGGACTTGGAATATGATTATGTTGACATTTTGGTTTTTTTCTCTCCGCGTGATTACTACACTTAGTGTTAGAACGCTTCACTATGGTCATCTGATTGATGAAGGTGACAGTACAGTGAAGTCATCGAAACACCACACTTAAATCGTCTTCTGGTTGTGTTATACGAACTTTTATCCTATTGAAATGACCAATCTGAGGAAAATGTCAAACGGCCACCTTATCTGTTGATTAACAGTAGTAAACATATTTCGTAAGATAAAGGGACAACCATGACAATTGTCTATTGATTTCTCATTTTTAATTCGTTAATGGTGATCTAAGCTTAGTTTCTTTCTAATAATAATATCGTCCAATTTTCCAGTGAAAAATGACTTACTCGATATACAACATCAAAATGAAAAGCACGTGCAACACAGATTCTAGCCATTGGAGACTACCTTGAACGGCCAACCACTGACCATTCCGATCTAGGGGCTTGTAAAATATCGAGAAATATCTGTTTTAAATAAATCATTCAAAATGTTCAAACATTGTAAAAATATACCAAAAGCAATGCAAACTATTAATATGTCATTCTCACTAGTGACAGTACATTGATATTTCTCATTCAGATGTATTATTTTCAGTCATGTTTTCAACGTTAACACAGATAAGTAGACACAACATCCACATAACTATCATTCTGTTCAATATAAGGCTATACACATCAGTATTATCTATAACAACTTACATACACATATCTCACATACAAGTTGTGTCAGACATAAACGGACACGTGATCATCCATTCCGACCAATAAAAATGACCAAAATCGACTTAATTCACCTCTTCGTTCATGTTCCATTCTGTGTAACACTACATACATCGTTCCTGTTCCATTCTGTGTAACACTACATACATCGTTCCTATTCCATTCTGTGTAACACTACATACATCGTTCCTGTTCCATTCTGTGTAACACTACATACATCGTTCCTATTCCATTCTGTGTAACACTACATACATCGTTCCTATTCCATTCTGTGTAACACTACATACATCGTTCCTATTCCATTCTGTGTAACACTACATACAACAATCCTATCATGAAAACACATGAGAACGAACAATATTAAAAAAATAGGCCTCACGTGAAAAAAATCATATTACTAGCCCTTCAGATTAAAAAAGAGGCAGTAATGATGATAGCGAACATATGATTGGATAGATTAAGTCAAATTTCAATATAAGTAAAACTTAACTCGTTAATGTATTTAATAAAGGGAATTATGGGGACAAAATGATTTTTACGCTCACGCTCATCTTCACAACTTCTATTCCAAAACTTCAGGTTGTAGTTCAATTAATTAACAATTCCCATTGCCTGTAGAAAATATTATCACCGTGAAATATCAATGACAAGCTATTTTTTTCTCTCATATCCCGCCATATTGGATATAGTTTGCCCATGTAAGATAGCTTTGTAAGAAAATTCTTTCTCTCATATCCCGCCATATTGGATATAGTTTGCCCATGTAAGATAGCTTTGTAAGAAAATTCTATCTTACATGGGCAAACACGTTCGCGGAGTAATCTGTGTTCAGGGGAGACAACTCTTACAGCGTCCGAAAATCCCTTGTACAAAAAATGACTGACAACCATGTACCCGATACCTTGCAGGTTTATATCACGGGTCATAAAAACACACAGCCGCTGAATAATTACAGGACACTGAATGACAGACAGAAGTACATGATTTCCAATATGTTGTGAAACACAAAAAGCTCCGAATTAATTCCATCAATTTTGGTTCTCACTTTGAAAATTGCCAAATCACCGTAAATATCACCACAAATGTTCCACCGCCCAAACGTCGTCGAATCATGGTGATCGAGAGCGACAGCGACTCGGAATAGGAGATCGTGTGACGTCACGCCTTGAATTTATGAATGGAAATTCTTTGACTATGGTGACGCATGTCAGCGTCACAGTATTTTGAAAAAATGTTAAAACAAAAAAGATACATTGATATATTTCTTAAAATGATCAAATATGTTATTTTGTTGATAAAACTATATGTTGAATTATAAAAATCCGTTCCTTGTTGATTTCTTTGAAGTATTTGACGGAACAATTTCTTTTCGCGGATGTTTACTTTCACATAGTAAATAATCACACAGAGATCATTTTTGGATTTTTTCATCTGCGAATAATATATTCATCCTGCAATATACCGAAAAATGGTTTGAAATTTGACAGCAAACTTGACTTTGCAAAATATGGGTATGATCGTTAAGAATATCCAGTTCGTTTTTAATAAAAACCTCGGATTAAAAAAATGAAAAAAATGAAGATAATGGCCGACCGACTGTCCTTTTCCCAAAATTTTGGTAGAGATATGAGAGAAAAAGACTCTTTCATTATGTGTGTATGTAGGATAGGGATATTCCACCCACGGGGTTACAAAATATGGTAAAACCCGAGGCTCTCCATATTTTGTGACCCTCGGGTGGAATATCCCTATCCTACATACACACATATGAAAGAGTCTTATAGTAAATCAACGACCAAATAACGTCAGTCAAGACAGTTTTGAAAGAACATTGTAAATCTAGTGAATATGGCCGTTTTTTCAACCATGTAACGATAGAATATGTAATGACGTTTCCAATGCAAATAGAAGCCTGGCCTCGACTTGGGACAACAAACGCAAAATACTTTTACTGAAAGAAACGCCTGCACGCCTGTATCTCCTTCTTGATATTAGTTTCTTATATGTAATAACATGGATTTGAGTTTAAAAAATCGATCACTCATGATAATAAAAATAACAGCACCTTCGTGGATCCAGATTAAGTTCCACTACATACCCATATAAATGAAACACAACGTTGACGTCACAACACTAACAAATTCTAGCAAGTTCCCGTCTGAATGAAATGCACAATACCCAATTTAATACCTATTGTTAGTACATGGATTAAGTTAATTCATGGATGCGGTGTTTGGAACTTATCATGTCACGTGATACATTTGTGTCACAATGTTCAATACTGCCTAAACAAGAAAAAGATGTCACGTGATTTGATATACAAATGGTCTACTTTCAGTTTGGTCGAAGTTATCAAAATGTTATTTCTAAAATGTTGCTGGTGATTTTAAAAATGTTGTTAGTGAGAATTGTCTCGCCTTATCACAATAAAGGCATTTGTTTTATAATGTCTTAGAAACGTAACACAAACAAGTCCTACTAAGTAAAATGATAATAACCCTGCTTTACAATGTATTACACATTAACACTAATATTTCATAGTAAAGATTCTACATAAATCCACTCTGTAATGCGCGGCGGTGGCAATAATTTGCAGTAAAATATTCCTTCTGTTGATGTAGGTGACGTCCATGACACTGACGTCACATGTAGAACTTTGCCACGCTGTTCTACCAACAACTGTTGCTGTTCCCACTCTGATTTTGACCTCGCTACAATGTCTTCATGGAATACGATACCTGTATGTGTTCTGTCAAATCGCTTTCTCGTTATATTTTGAGCCGAATGGTATGTGTAGATAAAGGATGCCTGCAAAAGCAGAGAACGAAAATAAATTAATAGAAATAGGACGACAAGTTTTTGTTTGCATTATGTAATGTATTGCCAAATAGTGAAACATTACACTACAACCTATCTATAAAGTAGATAAAACGGATTAACTTGTTAAGAAATTAAGAGTGTACAAAACCATAACTTTGAAGTTTTAAACAAAACGATCAGGGTCAAGATAGTGTTTAAATGTTGTGATTTCCTTCAATGAATAATGGGACAGTCCCTTACGTGTAAAGCAATATTGATCACACTGGTTACAATATAGCCATTACCATGAAAGTAAAAACACATTAAACAAAAGTGAAGGACTCGCCATGGCGAGATGTAGGTACCCAGGTACAAATACAGTGTATATCAGAAAAAAAGTTCTCGCGTTCATAGCCAAAGGGAGGTAACTTTACCAAGTTACATATCACTTATGTGTTAGCCGTAAAACGAACGTTGATAAATAGATGTGAATAGTAAGATGTGTTCAGACAGTGTCAAGATAGTTCTGAAGGTGTCAATGATCGCGTTCGCCAATGATCTGGGACAAGGACGTGGATGGAAAAAAAACAAATAGTAAAGGGGAATGAACTGAAGCTATACGCAACTTACATAATTGACATCACGGCATGTTTTCATTTTACCGCCGATTGTGGAGTTGGACAAAACAGTCTGTAGACGCTGGGCATTAAATAACTTTGATTTGATTTCTAGTAGTTTTGGCGATGCTGGGGGCATGTCATCATCTGTGACATTATCGTTAGCGTATACCATTTCAGAGAAGGTAAATATTGTGACACTGCCGTCCAGCTGTTCCATCAGAGCCGGCTCAAGGTTTCTATTCACGTAGCTCTGCACCTGAAATAAAAACATACTAGTTACTTTCTTCATCTATAATGCTTTCCTATGCTAATTCATAAAAAGAAGAAATGATCTGACGCACAGCTCGTTTCGCTTGGAGTAATGACATATGCTTGGCTTATCATATTTCGTAAAAAATCCGATACATTTAGCACCTGATAAAACAAAATCAATTAGCATGCAGATTTTGTGGAGATACGAGACGCCGTCTTTGTGTAGAAATGCACCGTCTTTGTGCAGAAATGCACATATCATTCCGGTTACTTTATCTGTTGGAAACGTTTATTTGTTTTTTTATTTATTTCTTTTACTGCTACAGAATGCTACATTTATATATATATTGCATAATATAATTTTTTATAATTCGAGATCAGATGGGTGGATCTCAACCCGAGTAGAAAGCGGATTAAATTAGGAAGCACGATTCTTGTTGAATATTTTCAATTCAAACGTCTTTTCCCGAGCGTTGAGATCATCAACAAGGGGACGAATAATTAATTATCTATTACCCTGCTAGTTTTATTAGGTACTCGTATGTATTTTGTTTTCCAAATGATTTCCATGGTTGACATGATTCGATTGACGTGACGTCAACATGATTCAATTGGCATGACGTCATGTAATTATTACTGTGACGTCATATTGTGCTGGCCGGAGAATCCCTCCGTCTCAACCTATAGAAGCAAGAGAAGAACTCCTCACAGCGGTAAAAACCGATGGTATACCTGTCCAGCGGAACAGAATATCATCTTACCCTAGCCAGGTATACCACGCTTTTTACCGCTGTGAGATTCCCCTGTGTCACCCTTGGCTTGAAACGGAGGATTTCCCCTGTTTGGACAGAAAGAGCATACTTGTATCTAGTATACAATATATCCTACAGGGTAGAGAAACCCATTCTCACTCTTGTAGGCAGGATAGGGGTCCAAAACCTCAGGAAAAAATGACGAAGCTGCAATCTTTCGGACAGCCTCGTATATGCTACCTTACCCACCTTTCCCCTCGGTTTGAGATCCCCTCCAAGGAATGAAAGCTTTCGACTTGCATCTTATTGGACATCGATGATGGCGCGATGAAAATGTTATCAAAACAACCGAAGAATTCTTACTGTTTTAGTTTTGTTTAATTGCTTAGAAAGTATCGCGCTGACCAGCCAATGTTTTTTTTACTAATCTGAGCTATATCCTATCTACGGAAGAAGCCAATGTATGATTCTTAATAGACATCAACAACACCACATACTAGTTGATAATCTACAAGGGTAAAAGAGATGTCGGTCTTCTAGTATTTTAACGGAAATAATTAAATAAAAAAAAACAATGTCCGATGGGAATTACATGAACGTCTGAACAAAACAATATTTCAATGGAGTGTGTGTAAATACATGACCTTCTGTACAAAAGACACTATTTCAATGGAGTGTTTGTAAATACATGGCCTTCTGTACAAAAGACACTATTTCAATGGAGTGTGATCTTCTGTAAAAGACACTATTTCAATGGAGTGTGTGTAAATACATGACCTTCTGTACAAAAGACACTATTTCAATGGAGTGTGTGTAAATACATGACCTTCTGTACAAAAGACACTATTTCAATGGAGTGTGTGTAAATACATGGCCTTCTGTACAAAAGACACTATTTCAATGGAGTGTGTGTAAATACATGAATGTCTGTACAAAAGACACTATTTCAATGGAGTGTGTGTAAATACATGACCTTCTGTACAAAAGACACTATTTCAATGGAGTGTGTGTAAATACATGAACGTCTGTACAAAAGACAATATTTCAATGGAGTGTGTGTAAAAACATGACCTTCTGTACAAAAGACACTATTTCGATGGAGTGTGTGTAAATACATGACCTTCTGTACAAAAGACACTATTTCAATGGAGCGTATGTAAAAACATGGCCGTCTGCACAAAAAGACACTATTTCAATGGAGTGTTTATAAATACATGACCTTCTGTACAAAAGACACTATGCCAATGGAGTGTGTGTAAATACATGACCTTCTGTACAAAAGACACTATTTCAATGGAGTGTTTGTAAATACATGGCCGTCTGTACAAAAGACACTATTTCAATGGAGTGTTTGTAAATACATGAACGTCTGTACAAAAGACTATTTCAACAGAGTGAGTGTAAATACGTGAACTTTTGTACAAAAGACACTACTTAGATATAGATGGAGGTTATATAAATACGTGTAAATCGGTACAGACTGCATAAAAGACACTGTTTTGATTGAGTAGGTGTATATTTAAACACCCTTCCTCTCCCCCCTCCCCCTTCCTACCCCAAAAATGCAAAATTAGTTCTTTCTGCGTCGAAAAATGATGGCCCGCGTTACAAATAAGTATGCCGAGCTGCATGTGTGGCTGCCGAAAGGTAGGGTTCCAATGGGAAAAGACAATCATAGGGTGTTATCCTACCGTTTTTTTTTATAGAAGTTTATTTGAAGAAAGACCACAACTGTTGCAGATTAACTGGCGATGACTTTGGCTTTAGAAGATTCGGAACAATCAGCGATAACAAGCGCCAGCGAATTAGCGCTATCTAAGGTTGTCTATACAAACAGCTTGTAAAGTTAATAGGACTAGTTTATGTATCTGTGGTTGTGGATCCTTACATGAGGTTTGCTAACGTATTCAGCGTGCTTTCACAATTCCCTTTTAATAATATTTTCACAAAGAAGTGTTATTAATACAAGACACGTGTAGGGTTGAGTCTACCGTACCGTTAACATAGCCAGATAGGTACTATCTAATCTCCAACCATTCATAACGTCCTATAAATACTCGTGAACAGAGTTCGGAACCACACTTATATCATGAGCAATAGCTACAGAATTACATTGCATTTGTACATTAAGTTGTTTTGTTTTTTCTAGCGATTCCTTTCACATTTCCGACGTGCTTGTTATACCAGTCATCCTCCGTGACCATTAGCTGTACTTGAGATGCACAACGCGAGAGCGGTTGTCAATATTTACATATGGTGGAACCTCGAGTGTTGTTGCTCGTACCTGTATTTTGATTAGTTCACGAGTGCTACCCTAAATCGAATTAAACAGCATTGTCTCAATATATACAGATATTACTTGCTTTTATTTAAGTTCTCGACACAAGGCAGTTTTTAATTTGGATGTAGAATATACTTTTTTAGATATGCTCGTTTTCAGTGATTGAACAGAAACAGATGTTCTGTAGATACGGGGTCAAACGAAGGCGTTGCTGAATCATACCGAGGGTTCATAGCGTACAGTACTGTACAATGTTGATTTGAAGGACAACCATATTTACAACTTCCAATATGTCGTTATAACTGTATGACCTCGTCTGTCACTTTTTCAGCAATAAATATACCAATGTTTGCACCACTTTGAGCTTCCCTTTTACACTGAGTAATTTAAACATTATAATCATAGGACGTCATGCCACATAACATTTTTTTTCAATCATTTAGAGAATTAATTTATTTAAATTATTCAATAAACCCTAAGGCATAAACATTTTCCAAACATTTTACATAGAAAGCTACAAAATAAACATGAAAGTCCTTTAAACTTATTGTTTCATATCAAAATGGTTAGTAATCTCACATGTATCTTGGCAGAGTTGGGGCCGAGTATCCCTGACAACCAGATCTGAGCGTACGTCACCCATGTAGACTTCAAGGTCGAGTCCAGTGTCATTTTCTTTATGTCCACAATTGGCTGAAAAATAGCAAGTGGCATTAAATGTGACAATACTTATAGTGCGGAGTAGCTAGCTCGTACAGAATTATCGTTTGTGGCTAAGGTGAAATAAAAAGATGTTTATCAACACAAGAATGTGATATTAACCGATGCTACCTAAAATCTACTGTCGATGTAATAAACCTGTCATAAACGAAGTTCTGGTGCCACTAAAGCCATACACACCAATTTATCGTTCTTGTATTTGTAATGAAGGATTATGGTACTTAAAACAACGTAACACCAGACTCCACTGAGCATTTTACGATGTTGTGGTCATGAATCATTTGCTCTGCCTAGTCACATAAGCGAATTTCCAGCGGTCATGAAAATGTCCCTATTATGAATTCCAAAATCTATCGGAGCTACCCAATTTTCCTAAAACCGCATATATTGACAATAGTCAATAGATAGTTTATGGATACAGTATTATTGTTTAATATGAACAAATTTCATTCAGACTCTCGTTTCGGTAGATTAAGTAAGTGGGATAGGCTGAAATGGGCGGCAGTCTTCTATTATGAATTCGCGGTTATACAACTAATAATTTTTGTTCGTAGTATTTACACAATATGAATTTCAGTTGACTAAAATCATTTTTCAAAAGCGAGATTCAGCCACAATAATTAAAAATGCTGTTCCGAGGATTAATTGGCTGGATCCTTTGTTAACGAGATATGTTGCGGCCTATTGATATTACCTCAAGAAAAAAGCCTCAATTTTATATGTAAAACTGTCAATTTAAGAAATAAGTGGAAACAGTATTATCCAATTTCAACCAATCAAAAGACCGCAATAGTCTAAACCTATATATTATGGTATATGGGTATATATATGTCGTCAATACGTTTACAAACTGATCTGAGAGTGGGGTAACACAACGTATTGTGGTAGAGATTTCACAGCAGATGCTTGTGGTATACTCTCCCCCTTGTATGCGTCACTGATAATGAACGATATTTTGTTGATGTCACTGATATTGAATCATATGTTATATGTCACTAACTACAGTGATATTTTGTAAAATGTCACCGATTGTAAGTTATATTTTGTATATCTCACCGTAGTGAGTTATGTTTTGTAAATGTAACAGATAGTGAGCAATATCTTGTATAATTCACTGAAAATGAGTGATATTTTGTATATTTTAGAGATAGTGATATTTTGTAAATGTTACGGAGAGTGAGTAATGTTTTGTACATTTCACTATAAGTGAGCATTCTTCTGATATCAATTATTTAATATGTCACTTAATCCTTAATTGGTTATCGTTTGATGATATCCATACCTGAAGTAAAGTTAAGGTTTTCCGTGATTCATTCAATAAGGACGTCGTGCTCGTGGTATCTTTATCAACTGTCTTCACCAGAAATGTTGTGGTAATGTGTGAGATTTTATCTATAGCTCTGTCGACTGGAAGATCAGACTTAACGTCAGCCATTTTTAAGTTTTCCGGCAATTCGCCTGTAATAAGCGATCCATGATTGACTCCCTCCAGAACAACAATAGGACTCCTTTGTAGCAAAGAGTTATCATCGTCATCATCAGTGCCATCGATATTGTCACTGAAATGATAAGTTTCGGAACAGCGGTATTAGAAATTCCAACGTAAAAGCTAGCATATATGTCCCTGGTCTTAATAGTCAGTCAACCACAGATTTAATCACTTTAGGAAAATCACTTGAACATAACGATGAATTAAACGCTTACAAGTTTCATCCAGTATAACAATAACTTCAGAGACAAACAAACTAGTAGTGTATGTTATCAAGTAAGCAAAAATGTGTAAAGTATGAAATATAACACAAGATAGACGCGTGTCCATACTTAGTCCAAGTTTTAATACATTCCGGCTTACATTTTTTCATCATCTTCATATAACAATTAAAACACGATCAATACATCGCCCTCATATGGCAATTAAAACACGATCAATGTACCGCCCACATATAACAATTAAAACATGATCAATGTACCGCCCTCATATAACAATTAAAACACGATCAATTAACCGCCCTCATATAACAATTAAAACACGATCAATGTACCGCCCTCATATAACAATTAAAACACGAACAATGTACCGCCCTCATACACCAATTAAAACATGATCAATGTACCGCCCTCATACACCAATTAAAACATTGATCAATGTACCGCTCTCATATAACAATTAAAACACGATCAATGTACCGCTCTCATATAACAATTAAAACACGATCAATGTACCGCTCTCATATAACAATTAAAACACGATCAATGTACCGCCCTCATATAACAATTAAAACACGATCAATGTACCGCCCTCATATAACAATTAAAACACGAACAATTAACCGCCCTCATATAACAATTAAAACACGAACAATGTACCGCCCTCATACACCAATTAAAACATGATCAATGTACCGCCCACATATAACAATTAAAACACGATCAATGTACCGCTCTCATATAACAATTAAAACACGATCAATGTAGCGCTCTCATATAACAATTAAAACACGATCAATGTACCGCTCTCATATAACAATTAAAACACGATCAATGTACCGCTCTCATATAACAATTAAAACACGATCAATGTACCGCCCTCATATAACAATTAAAACACGATCAATGTACCGCCCTCATATAACAATTAAAACACGATCAATTAACCGCCCTCATATAACAATTAAAACACGATCAATGTACCGCCCACATATAACAATTAAAACACGATCAATGTACCGCCCTCATATAACAATTAAAACACGATCAATGTACCGCCCTTATATAACAATTAAAACACGATCAATTAACCGCCCTCATACACCAATTAAAACATGATCAATGTACCGCCCACATATAACAATTAAAACACGATCAATGTACCGCCCTCATATAACAATTAAAACACGATCAATGTACCGCTCTCATATAACAATTAAAACACGATCAATTAACCGCCCTCATATAACAATTAAAACATTGATCAATGTACCGCCCACATATAACAATTAAAACACGATCAATGTACCGCCCTCATATAACAATTAAAACACGATCAATGTACCGCCCTCATATAACAATTAAAACACGATCAATGTACCGCCCTCATATAACAATTAAAACATTGATCAATGTACCGCCCACATATAACAATTAAAACACGATCAATGTACCGCCCTCATATAACAATTAAAACATTGATCAATGTACCGCCCACATATAACAATTAAAACATAACGATCAATGTACCGCCCACATATAACAATTAAAACACGATCAATGTACCGCCCTCATATAACAATTAAAACACGATCAATGTACCGCCCACATATAACAATTAAAACACGATCAATGTACCGCCCTCATATAACAATTAAAACACGATCAATGTACCGCCCTCATATAACAATTAAAACACGATCAATGTACCGCCCTCATATAACAATTAAAACACGATCAATGTACCGCCCACATATAACAATTAAAACACGATCAATGTACCGCCCTCATATAACAATTAAAACATTGATCAATGTACCGCCCACATATAACAATTAAAACATTGATCAATGTACCGCCCACATATAACAATTAAAACACGATCAATGTACCGCCCTCATATAACAATTAAAACATTGATCAATGTACCGCCCACATATAACAATTAAAACACGATCAATGTACCGCCCTCATATAACAATTAAAACACGATCAATGTACCGCCCACATATAACAATTAAAACACGATCAATGTACCGCCCACATATAACACGATCAATGTACCGCCCACATATAACAATTAAAAAACACACGATCAATGTACCTCCACATATAACAATTAAAACACGATCAATGTACCGCCCTCATATAACAATTAAAACACGATCAATGTACCGCCCTCATATAACAATTAAAACACGATCAATGTACCGCCCTCATATAACAATTAAAACACGATCAATGTACCGCCCACATATAACAATTAAAACATTAAAACACGATCAATGTACCGCCCTCATATAACAATTAAAACACGATCAATGTACCACATATAACAATTAAAACACGATCAATGTACCGCCCACATATAACAATTAAAACATGATAACAATGTATTAAAACACGATCAATGTACCGTCCACATATAACAATTAAAACACGATCAATGTACCGTCCCAGATAACATATAACAATTAAAACAATTAAAACAAATCAATGTACCATAACAATTAAAACACGATCAATATACCGCCCTCATATAACAATTAAAACACGATCAATGTACCGTCCACAGATAACAATTAAAACACGATCAATGTACCGTCCACAGATAACAATTAAAACACGATCAATGTACCGTCCACAGATAACAATTAAAACACGATCAATGTACCGCCCACATATAACAATTAAAACACGATCAATGTACCGCCCACATATAACAATTAAAACACGATCAATGTACCGCCCACATATAACAATTAAAACACGATCAATGTACCGTCCACGTCCACAGATAACAATTAAAACACGATCAATGTACCGCCCACATATAACAATTAAAACACGATCAATGTACCGTCCACAGATAACAATTAAAACACGATCAATGTACCGCCCTCATATAACAATTAAAACACGATCAATTAAAACACGATCAATGTACCGCCCTCATATAACAATTAAAACACGATCAATGTACCGCCCTCATATAACAATTAAAACACGATCAATGTACCGCCCTCATATAACAATTAAAACACGATCAATGTACCGCCCTCATATAACAATTAAAACACGATCAATGTACCGCCCTCATATAACAATTAAAAAACAATGTACGCCCAATTAAAACATATAACAATTAAAACACGATCAATGTACCGCCCTCATATAACAATTAAAACACGATCAATGTACCGCCCTCATATAACAATTAAAACACGATCAATGTACCGCCCTCATATAACAATTAAAACACGATCAATGTACCGCCCTCATATAACAATTAAAACATTGATCAATGTACCGCCCTCATATAACAATTAAAACACGATCAATGTACCGCCCTCATATAACAATTAAAACATTGATCAATGTCCTTACATCAACATATCGGCAATCTGTGTGATTCTGTTGACTCCGTCAAGGTCTCCTGATATTGTGAGAATCGGGACGGGAAATGTAATCATTTGGCCCTGTCGTAGATATGAGTTGTAGAGTAGTATGCCGTCTACTTCTGCTGGGTAAATGCTTGCATACAACTGTACCGGTAAACCTGTAAAACGCAATGTTTAGCCTACGGATTCAGATTATTGACTACCAAATTTCATTTCGTTAAATAGAACCATTTCTGTTAAATGTTAATTTTGTAATGCTACTAGAAAATCATGCAAACTGAACACTTGAACGAAGCTTTTCGACAATTAATTTAAATGTGCATCATTTTTAGCGTATTTCGTAAAAATACGTCCAAATCAAAGAAGAATTATAAGGATGACGATCGAGGTTGGTGGTAAATTCTTCCAATAGATCATTGGCATACCTATTGGAAATGACTGTTTGAGTTTGAATTATGATCATGTTGATATGTTGGTATTTTCTTACTGTTTTGTGCCTGATCGACAATCAAATCAAGCGAAAATAATTGACAAAAATAATAAGTGTAATTATGAACAACTTCATACCGGATGTTCCATGTCCAGCGAGAAAAAGGTCGTATGCGTGAGCATCCAGTTCTTCCTCTCGGAGTCTATCCCGCACACTCCAAATGATTGAAGGAATGTCCTCGAGACGGGCCGCCTTTCCTTGAATATCTGCAATCACTGACCACGTGCGATAGGGACTCTTTTTTTGAATTGTCTCCCCTGGTAAAATGAAACCACCAAAAAACGTTTATTAAACTTTTGTGCATGGAACTTTAAAACGTCTTTAGTTCATCTACTTACATTGGATGTGCGGGAAGTTTATTGGCTGTTTGAAAAACAGTTGATCTATATATAGGGCTCTGACAGGACTATGGCATTTAAGTCATTTCCTTACAAATAGAAATATTTGTCTTCTATCGTATACCTAGAAAATACACGTGTATCTGTTATATGTTGGTATTTCTTTCAATCGCGAGATTCATTTCTAAAAAATTGTAAAAATGCACGAATTTTAGCGAGTGTTCTTGTAACGTTTGGAAAATAAGTAACAATATATAATATTTAAGACTTAATGTGATCTGTTTCTACCATAAGAACGGGTATTTCAGTTATGAATTGATTCTCTCAGTGTATCTGTTGGGGTGTTATGACATGACCTATAGTAAAATGCCGCTACTTCATATGCAAAATTGACAATATCATAAATATGTGTCGAAATAGTATGATTCGTTACAAATCATTGCAAGAAATACATGAGTTTATCAAAGTAATATTCTGATAGAAATCCGTATAAGAATCAAATAATTTCCAAAAGCAATTACGAACTACTTGTGGCGCGTTTATTAATTCGGTTAAAATTCAGCTTCTTATCCATATCCTCAACCAATGAAAAGGCCATAAACATGTACCACTCCTAATGTTACAACGTATATCGTATATCTATTCAATTTTCAGTGTGTTTACGCAATGGTCTCGGAATAGAGTAACACACTGTATTGCGGTAGAAACAGCATACTACAAGTAAAATTGAAAATATTGGAGTATAAACACCACGGAGCGAGAAAATCGGTCTGTGACCCTATAGACTGAAGCGACCCCTGTTTATGTGACCCCTATTTTTGTCGTGGTCGAGTAGAAACGAAAGTCATTCCATATCATTAGCCAAGCTGTGATGACAGGGCACTAACACTCGAAACCCTGTACAGAACTTTAAAACTCGGGCTTCATAGAAGGTATGTGAACTCTTTGAAAGGGGTCATTACTATCTAATGAAATATGATGTGACTAAATTCCGTCCGTGTCAGTTGGCACTCAGAACAGTCACCTCACTAATTTTCCACAGTGGACATTTTAGATAATTTAACACAGGGGCTGGGTACGTCATATTGTCCTATATTACCAAGTGATCATAAAGCAATTCGGCAAAAATTCAGCTGATGTGGATAAAACTTAAAGAGAAATTTCTTACCACATATAAACACCTACTCAAATATCAGTAAACAATAAGGGCCACACCAAGAGGAGTCTGTGTCCATTGTGGGAGATGTGCCTACCCCAAGTCTCCACTTACAGGACAATTTATCACAACAGAGACAACTTCCGCTGGCATATCTAATCTTTCAAAAAAACTGACACGTAAATAACTGAAATTACTTACCAAGAAGTAAGCTCGGCCACAAAACAACATTTACTAGTGTGAGGCACACTGGTGTATACGTAATATCGATTTATCTTAAACATTTAATCTACGGAGACAGATATTTGTCCTCGACAACTCGTCCAAACGCATCTGTAAATACCAAGACATGACAGCAGCTGATGGTGTAAAGACCCATTGTTGTAATTGATAAAACATGCTTTTCTAAAGTGTAATCGTCTATCAGACTCTCATTTTCATAAACAAGGTTCAGTACTATAATAATGTCTGGGATGGCGAGGATGGGGAATGCATGTTAATACGCTCTTCTAAAAACAGACCACGTATTAAAACTCATCTTTCGTAATAAAAATATGCATATATATACATACAGGCGGTGAAATATACGCGTATAAATTTCACAGGTGGATAGAAACACTTATTTAAGAAATACGTTTGTCGGTAAGATATAAACGAAAATTGTACAGTTCACTACCTATATACAGTTGAAAGCGCATCATGTTTAAATATCAAAACTTACAATACTAGGTAGATAATCGTGGAGGATTTTTTCAACGCTCATAAAAATACGAAAAGGGGTTACTTCAGATTTCACAGACAAAACGTCCACACTAAAACAGCTGGATTACGTTCGTAAAGTTTACAATCACAAGTTAACAGAGTAACTGATTAGACTAGGATTGATAAATCGTCTTATCGAGTTTACATAGTGGCGACAACACTATAAACACGTTTAGTCTTCACGGCTATATCTATTTCTGTCTACAGAAATCACTTTCTGACACCAAGGATGCTGAACTATAAGAGTAGCAGATTGTGTGGATTTTTCCCCCATTCAGTATCTGTTACTTGTGAACATCAGCATTTATTCTGTTTGATATTGTCGAGATTTGCTGCACCAATATACACATATACATACATATAAAAGTTAACAGCATGCTAAGGTGTTTTTGTTTTATAATATATAGCCCGTTCCCAGCTATTTCATATACGTGTATATTATGTGATTTTGAAAACATTATGACTAAACATAACTATCATAACAGTATCATATCTCATATATTGACCTTACCGAACTGTTTGTATAGAATGTTGTCCACTCCCGTCTCCGGTAGAATGACCACCACCACTGTCCTGGCATGACTCACTATGGGTGTCAGGAATATGTGACGTCCGTCCCCGACCCCTACGGCCAAAAGGAGATACAACAAAAAACTCGCACCTCCCCTCATCCCGGTTCCAGTGGCTGATAGTTAATATCACGTGGAAGGGCACGGCATTTACACGTTAAATTCCATGGCGGGTCGACCGTTGTACATGTCGTATGACAACCGACAGGGCGCGAGATAGAATGTCAGCTAAAATTGGTCGTAGCGGAGAAAATTGACGTTCGGCGCCGAGGGTACATTTAGTACAATTATCTCCTCTCGCTCACGACTATTTTATTTTTTCGTATACATGGTCCAGCCTCTCCAACGACAATCACTAGCCGACTTTGATGTGACTGAGCTGATATCTGCTTAAATTGCATCCGATATGTTAACGTTGTAGGTTCGGGCGGAGGGCGAGTGCATTCCTGGTAACGGGTATTATTAATTCAGTGTGTCTATAGCCGTATATACTTACACTCTCTACTTCTCACACTCAAACAACACAGACATATTCATGTCAAGAGGAAGCACACACTTAGCATCTTTGAAGAGGGTTAGCACAGTATACAAGACATTTGTGTAAATGTAGCGTGCTCTATTATACACTCCAGTGAAAATTACAACTATCCAGTTATTACAAACAGTTTAGCATGATTAAGTTTACCAACATAACTTAAAACACCTGTCATCAAACATAGACCAGAGAACACCTTATGATACACATCATTTTCTTTCTCGTGGAGAAACTAATGTATACGATACAGTATGGAACAACAAACACCTTTCTCCTACAGATATCACGGTTATTGATGTGCATAATACTAATAACCTCTACCTCTAACTTGTATTTTCTAACCCCTACTCTGTACTGTCTGCCACCTATCCTGTACATCTAACTTCTGCTCTCTACCCCCTATCCTGTACATCTATCTTACCTCTACTCTCTACCCCCTATCCTGTACATCTTACCTCTACTCTCTACCCCCTATCCTGTACATCTTACCTCTACTCTCTACCCCCCCCCCCCATCCTGTACATCTTACCTCTACTCTCTACCCCCTCTCCTGTACATCTTACCTCTACTCTCTACCCACCCCCCATCCTGTACATCTTACCTCTACTCTCTACCCCCTCTCCTGTACATCTTACCTCTACTCTCTACCCCCCCTCCCCCATCCTGTACATCTTACCTCTACTCTCTACCCCCTATCATGTACCCTGTTAACTCTACTCTCTACCCCTATCCTGTACATCTTACCTCTACTCTCTACCCCCTATCCTGTTCATCTTACCTCTACTCTCTACCCCCCTATCATGTACCCTTTTACCTATACACTCTACCCTCCCCTACCCTGTACATCTTACCTTTACTTTCTAACCCCCTATCCAGTACATCTTAACTCTACTCTCTACCAACTATCCTATACATCTTACCTCTACTCTCTACCCCCTATCATGTACCCTGTTAACTCTACTCTCTACCCCTATCCTGTACATCTTACCTCTACTCTCTACACCCCCCCTATCCTGTACATCTTAACTCTACTCTCTACCCCCCCCTATCCTGTACATCTTAACTCTACTCTCTACCCTCTATCCTATACATCTTACCTCTACTCTCTACCCCCTATCATGTACCCTGTTAACTCTACTCTCTACCCCTATCCTGTACATCTTACCTCTACTCTCTACCCCCCCCCCCCAATCCTGTACATCTTACCTCTATTCTCTACCCCTCCCTCCTGTACATTTTACCTCTACTCTCTACCCTCTATCCTGTACATCTTACCTCTAGTCTCTACCCCCCACCCCCCTATCCTGTACATCTTACCTCTACTCTCTACCCCCTATCCTGTACATCTTACCTCTACTCTCTACCCCCTATCCTGTACATCTTATCTCTACTATCTACTTCCCCTATCCTGTACATCTTACCTCTACTCTCTACCCCCTATCCTGTACATCTTACCTCTACTCTCTACCCTTTATCCTGTACATCTTACCTCTACTCTCTGCCCCTCCCTCCTGTACATCTTACCTCTACTCTCTACCCTCTATCCTGTACATCTTACCTCTACTCTCTACCCCCTCCCTGCTGTATATCTAACCTCTACTCTCTACCCTCTATCCTGTACATCTTACCTCTACTCTCTACCCCCTCCCTGCTGTATATCTAACCTCTACTCTCTTATCCTGTACATCTTACCTCTACTCTCTGCGCCTCCCTCCTGTACATCTTACCTCTACTCTCTACCCTCTATCCTGTACATCTAACCTCTACTCTCTACCCCCTATCCTGTACATCTAACCTCTACTCTCTACCCCCTATCCTGTACATCTTACCTCTACTCTCTACCCTCTATCCTATACATCTTACCTCTACTCTCTACCCTCTATCCTGTACATCTTACCTCTACTCTCTACCCCCTCCCTCCTGTACATCTAACCTCTACTCTCTACCCCTATCCTGTACATCTTACCTCTCTCTCTACCCCCTATCCTGTACATCTTACCTCTACTCTCTCTACCCCCCCCCCTCCCATCCTGTACATCTTACCTCTACTCTCTACCCTCTCTATCCTGTACATCTTACTACTCTCTACCCTCTGTACATCTTACCTCTACTCTCTACCCCTGTACATCTGTACATCTACTCTCTACTCCCCTCCCCATCCTGTACATCTTACCTCTACTCTCTACCCCTCCCTCCTGTACATTTTACCTCTACTCTCTACCCTCTATCCTGTACATCTTACCTCTACTCTCTACCCCCCACCCCTCCCTCCTGTACATCTTACCTCTACTCTCTACCCCCTATCCTGTACATCTTACCTCTACTCTCTACCCCCCCCCCCCATCCAGTACATCTTACCTCTACTCTCTACCCTCTATCCTGTACATCTTACCTCTACTCTCTACCCTCTTTTCTGTACATCTTACCTCTACTCTCTACCCCCCCCCCATCCTGTACATCTTACCTCTACTCTCTACCCCTCCCTCCTGTACATTTTACCTCTACTCTCTACCCTCTATCCTGTACATCTTACCTCTACTCTCTACCCCCCACCCCTCACTCCTGTACATCTTACCTCTACTCTCTACCCTCTATCCTGTACATCTTACCTCTACTCTCTACCCCTCCCTCCTGTACATCTTACCCCTACTCTCTACCCTCTATCCTGTACATCTTACCTCTACTCTCTACCCCCTATCCTGTACATCTTACCTCTACTCTCTACCCCCTATCCTGTACATCTTATCTCTACTATCTACTTCCCCTATCCTGTACATCTTACCTCTACTCTCTATCCTGTACATCTTACCTCTACTCTCTACCCCCTATCATGTACCCACTTACCGATATTTTCAACCCCCTATCATGTACCATGTTACCTCTACTCTCTACCCCTATCCTGTACATCTTACCTCTTCTCTCTACACCCTATCATGTACATTGTTACCTCTACTCTCTTCCCCTCTATCATGTACCCTGTTACCTCTACTCTCTACCCCCTATCATGTACATCTGACCTCTACTCTCTACCCCTATCCTGAATCCTCTTTCTTCTACCTCCTGTCACGTTCCCATTCACTCTACTCTTACCCTATACTCGCATCCCTCTACCCTCTACCCCTTATTTTCTACCCCCTGTCATAAACCCATACTCTGTTCCACTACCTATCTTGTACCCTGTAACCCAAACCTTCTACTTCTACCCCCTATTTACTACCTTCATTCTATACCCATACCTTGTAAGCGAACCCTCTACCCCTCCCCCACACGGTTCCATTTACCCCTTAACCTTTACCCCAACCCTGTGCCTTGTATCATCTACCCGTACCTTCTACCATCTACCTGTACCCTGTATCCTGACACCCCTACCTCTACCCCTATCCTGTATCCCTATCTCCTACCTTGCAACCCCTAGTGAGTTACCTTCTATTCCTTCCCTCTACCATACACTCCTACCGTGTGCTCTCTACCCTCTAATCTCATCCATCTTACCCCTACCCTGTACCCCATACCCAAAATTTCCTATCCCTGTTTCCTAACCTCTTCCTCTACGGCATGCAACATTTAGCATTCAGAATTCAATGTTGCGCACCATGACATACAATATTAATTGTTTGAGTAGTTTGCACTGCTACATACAACATTCAATATTCAGAATTCGAATATTGTGCTGCCTGACATACGACATACACGTTGTATATATAGATTTTGAATGTGTCACTCCATGACAAAAACATTCAGTCTTACATACATGTACGACATACAACATTCGGTGTTTGAATATTGCACTGCACGCCATACTGTATACGACATTCAGAACCCAACACTCTCAATGGTAAGTTTTATTTTTTGTTCCAGAATTTTCAAATTTCACTGATAAGCGATAACATCTCTACCATTTTCAAGTGGCAAAATAAAACCCCTAGTAAAACTTTATCACTAAGATGTTTTCACACCATGGTCATATAAACCTGTTCCATCTTTTCTATAAAATATTAAACATTTTAAACCTACTAACCACAAACCTATAACTCGCAAAAGTGCACTCTTTTCCGACATGTAGGGGTATGTTCCTGTCAGCACGTAATTAGTGGCTCGCACCGTGGTGCATCGGTTTGTTCGTCTGTGGCTCTGTCCGTTTTTTCCTTTGTCTAATTGCACTATGACTTTGTCCAAAGCTTCCTCGAACGAAGTTCAAATGGAAAACCGGTTTCTGCAGAATATTTTCTGTTTTGGTTAAACGATAACACTCAGATTTTCTTCATTACGACTTCACAGCAAGGGCTAGGTTCTCAATTTCTTTTCATGTTCAGAGGTCAAAGGTCAAATGTCAAAGTCATAGTTATATGTACTATGAATAGAAATCTGAATATATATATATATAAAAAAAATAGAACACATTTGAATACTACCGGTAATTACTTACTTATGCTACGACGAACCAATGATTGATTGGAATGAAATGAAAAGTCACCTAGATAGGCCAGAGTCATCATGTCATAGTTAAATAATAATGCATAGTAAGCATTTGAAATACTTCACAAAACCAATTTTTTTTCGGTCATGTGTCGATATTAACTAGTTATGGCGTGTAACCGCCCGATTCGATCTACATAAGGAATCATAATTTCTTTTTTATTTCGGCCGATAAGTAATTTCAATGAATTTTATCCACATGCTTATGCTTTACATCTTAAATTTGCTATTTCAATAATGTCGGTGTATATAACACAGGCGATATAAGACGGTAGTTGTATCTAATTTACAGTTTTTCTATTACTGTATAAGGAAGAGCATTACATTATCTAAAAAACCCATTATCACATGTAATAGTGTCTTAGTTATAGATTGTAATACAGTATTGTATGTATATATGTTAGTGTAGC